GTCACTCAGACTGGAGTGCAGTGGTGTGCTCTTGGCTCACTGCAACCTCCGCCTCCCAGGTTCAAGCGATTCCCCTGCCTCAGTCTCCCAAGTAGCTGGGACTACCTACAGGCACGTGCCACCATGCCCGACTCATTTTTTTTTTTTTTTAGATGGAGTTTTGCTCTTGTTGCCCAGGCTGGAATGTAGTGGCACAATCTTGGCTCACTGCAACCTCCGCCTCCCCGGTTCAAACAGTTCTCCTGCTTCAGCCTCCCAAGTAGCTGGGACTCCAGGCACGTGCTGCCACGCCCGACTAATTTAGCAGTTTTAGTAGAGATGGGATTTCTCTGTTCTTCAGGCTGATCTCTAACTCCTGACCTCAGGTGATCTGCCCACCTTGGCCTCCCAAAGTGCTGGGATTATAGATGTGAGCCACCACCCCCGACCAATTTTTGCCTTTTTTTAGTAGAGTTGGGATTTCACCATGTTGGCCAGACTGGTCTCCAACTCCTGACCTCAAGTGATCCGCCTGCCTCAGCCTCCCAAAGTGCTGGGATTACAGGCATGAGCCACCGTGCCCAGCCCCCAGGAATTCTTTATATGTTCTGGATACCATTCCCTTATCGGATATGGGATTTGTAAATACTTTTTTCCCCCTTCTGTGGGTCACCTTTTCTCTCCGTTAATAATATTCTTTAATGCACAAGAGTTTTTAATTTTGATGAAGTCCAACTTAGCTATCTTTTCTTTTGTTGCCTGTACTTTTGATATAATATCCAGTAAATCATTGCCAAATCCAGTGTCATGAAGTTGTTCCTCTAGGTTTTCTTCTAAGAATTTTATAGTTTTAGCTTTATGTTTAGGTCTTTCATCCATTTTGAGTTAATTTTTGTGAATGATATAATAGTCCAACTTTATTTATTTATTTTTTTGCAAGTGGATATCCAGTTTTCCCAGCACCATTTGTGGAAAAGACTCTCCTCTCCCCATTGAATAGTCTTGGCATCCTTGTTGAAATCATTTGACTTTCTATGTGAGGGTTTACTTTTGGGTTCTCTGTTCTATCCCATTTGTCTGTATATTTGTCTTTATGACAGTACCACACTGTTTTGATTACTGTAGCTTTGTAGTAGGTATTGAAATCAGGCCTCCAATTTTGTTTTTGTTTTTCAAGATTGTTTTGGCTAATCTGGGACCTTTGAGATGGGTTTTTCTATTTCTGTGGAAAATGTCATTGGGATTTTGATAGGAATTGTATTGAATCTGTATATCGTTTTGGATCAGCATTGACATCTTAACAATACTAAGTCTTCCATGAACACAAATATTTTTCAATTTGTTCATGTCTTTTATTTCTCTCAGCAACATTTTGTTTTAGTGTACAAGTCTTGTACCTCCTTAAGATTATTCCCAAGCATGTTATTGCTTTTATTCTCCCCTCCCTCCCTCCCTCCCTCCCTTCCTCCCTGCCTTCCTTCGTCCCTTCCTTCCTTCCTTCCTTCCTTCCTTCCTTCCTTCCTAGGCCTGCTGTGTGCCAGGTGTTTTTAGATGATTGCGAAAAATAAGATGCAGATTTTTGTCCTTGAGAGGCTCACAGTCAAGTGGAAGAGACACAGGTGGTTAAATGGTGGCAGTGTGATACAGTAAGTGCTTGGATTCAGGCTTATCTCTCTGGGAGGCTCTAATCCAGCCTAAGGCATTTGTCCCCAAACAAAAGCAGTGGAAGGATTTTGCTTCAGGTCATAGAAGCTTGGTGATGGCGTGGCTGCCACTTTGATTTTGAAGATAGAGTTTAGGAAACCCAGCCTCCAGCTCCAAGTGGGTGCCATCTAAAGCTGCCTGATGACTTTATCCTTTTATTTGTGGCTACTGGGATCACATTCTCGCTAGTAGTACCGTGGGTAATGTTGGGTACTGAGCCGTTTGCAACAATATAGTTGACGTGTTCTTCATCTTCACCGAGTTGCTATAGATGGCTGGTCTCTGCCCCAGGGTCAAGTTCAAAGGGTATATATAATGTTCTGATTCTCTCTACATGGTGTTTCCTGAATGGCTCGGTGAAAGATTGTTCCTTGGAGACCTGGCTTAGGCTGATTTCCTCTCTGGGGTTACATCTGGCTTATCTCCTCTCTCCAAGCCCAGCTCAGTGTAGACCAGCGCTGGGGCCTATGGAGGCTTAGGAAATGCAAGGTACCTGCATGGACCAGGCAAACGTGTAGGCTGTGTGAAGTTCCAGACCAGGTGGATGGCCCTAGGGTGAAACCCTGTTGGAGCACAGACAGGGAGGGCCCTGGCCTCGGGCCGTGTGAAGACATGGCCTGTATTTCCCCCAGCCCTGAGAAGATGCATACCATTGAAAAGCTTTTCCAACTGAAGGCAAGAGAAAGGAAATGAGAACACAGATAGAGCAGTTAATTTTCACAGATTGACTTTAAAAGAATTAATTAACGTTTAAGTTGCTACTTGAAGTCTTGAAATCATGTTTCAGTGGCGTGCGAGAGAGGCAGAGACTGAGCTGAGTTGATTTGGAGGAGTAATGTATGGCCACCCCCGGCCTTTGATGCTTTGGGGAAGCTTTGGACCTGAGCACTGCTGGCGGCTGGGCTATCTCCTTAGATCAAAAAGACCCAAAGCAGAGCTGGCAACGCTAATATTGTGTTTCTCTTTCTTATTGATTTTTTTTTTTTTTTTTGAGACGGAGTCTCGCTCTGTCGCCCAGGCTGGGGTGCAGTGGTGTGATCTCGGCTCACTGCAAGCTCCGCCTCCCGGGCTTACGCCATTCTCCTGCCTCAGCCTCCCGAGTAGCTGGGACCACAGGCGCCCGCCACCGCGCCCGGCTAGTTTTTTGTATTTTTTTTTAGTAGAGACGGGGTTTCACTGTGTTAGCCAGGATGGTCTCGATCTTCTGACCTCGTGATCCACCTGCCTCGGCCTCCCAAAGTGCTGGGATTACAGGCTTGAGCCACCGCGCCCGGCCTCTTATTGATTAAGTCTCAGCCGCTGGATCTTTTTGCAGAGGGCAAGAGCGTTTTGAAGACGAACAAATGCTACGCTTTTGCTTTCGCTCTTTGAGACTGCACGAGGAAGAATACTTTGGGATCCGGTTAAATTCAGTGTATTTTTATTGAGTGCCTGCAAGGTATGGTTTTAGCTACTGTGGGGAATCCAGTGATGAATAAATATTTGCCTCTCTCAAGGAGTTTGTGTCTGATGGGAGAGACAGACATAGATGAGCAACTCTATGAGGTTGTGGGGTGGCACACAGCGTACAGGGAGTTCAGAAGCAAGCCGTTCATTTAGGTCTGCGTGTAACTTCTTGGTAGGGGGAGAAATAATTCTGTTAGGGCCTGGAAAAGGCTGTGGAATTAAAGGCAGGCCTTGTAGACAAGTGGGGTAGTCAGAGGCGGAGGGAGGAAGGATTTTCAGCTGCAGAGGAGCGTGTGGCAGGCCTGGCAGGGCAGGTGGAGCCGAGGGGCTGAGATGAGATGGAAAGGTGGGTTGGGTGCTGGAGAAATGAGGCATCATTCAGAATGCCGGGCGAAATGGTCGAGGCTTTGGAGTGAGAGGTCAGGAAGGTCACTGGTGGTGGAGAGAAGGGAAGACTGTACATCTCACTGAGGAGTGATGAAGTCTTGGGCCAGGCAGTGTGGAGTGGTGAGATAGCCTGGGAGGGAAGCCCGAGGATCCCAGGGCTGCCATCAGCTCACTGTGCACCTTGAGCTAGTCACAATGCCCCTGTAGACCTCTGTTTTCATCTGTGAAGTGGGTTGACGGACTGTAGTGTTTTTTCTCGAGTGAGAGTAGTCAGGTTGGTTTTTTTGCTTTTCCCTGAATGGGTGTTACAGTTCCTTAAATGCTTTTTCTGCATCAGTTGAGATGATATAATAATTGTATGTATTTATGGGGTACACGTTGATGTGGTGCATATGAAGTATGGTGATCAGATTAGGGTAATTAGCATGTCTCTCATCTCAAACATTTATCATTTCAGTATCTTCCTTCCAGCCATTTGAAACTGTATGGTATATTATGGTTAACTGTAGTCATCCTAAGGAACTATAGAACACTGGAACTTATTTCTCCTACCTAGCTGTAAGTTTGTATCCTTTAGCAAATTTCTCCCTATCCCCACTTCCCCCTACCATTCTTAGGCTCTAGTATCCTCTGTTCTCCTTTTTACTTCTATAAGCTCAATTTTTTTTAGCTTCCACCTATGAGTAAGAACCTGTGGTGTTTAACTTTCTGTTCCTGTTGTATTTCACTTAATGTCCTCCAATTCCATCCATATTGTTGGGAATGACAAGATACTATGTTTTTTTCAATGGCTGAATTGTATTCCATTATGTGAATATACCACATTGTTTTGTATCCATTCATTTGTTGTTGGACGCCTACGCTGATTTTCTTGTTGATTTTCTTTATTCATCCGTGTTGGACACCTAGGTTGATTGGGTATCTCAGGTATTATGAATAGTGCTGCAAGAAACTTGGGGTTGCAGATGTCTCTCTGATGCACTGATTTCCTCTCCTTCGGATAAACGCCCAGTGGTGGGATTGCTGGATCGTATGGTGGTTTTATTTGTAGTTTTTTAAGGAACCTCCATATTGTTGTCTCTAATGGCATTCCCACCAAGTGTCTAACGGTTCCCTTATCTCTGAACCCCACTGGCATTTGTTATTTTTTGTCTTCTTGATACTAACTCTCCTAACTGGGATGAGATCATACCTCATTGTGGTTTGCTTTGCATTTTCCTGGGCAGCTTGTTCATAGACAATCAGACTGAACAGAGGTGATGGCAGTACCTTTTTAGGTCTCTGATAAGGCACAGCTGCATGAGGCACAGTGCAGGCTGTTAATGTTTTATTTTAGGGAAAAGATCCACTCACTCTGGGCTGCTGCAGACTCTCCTTGAAAAAGGAAAAGAAACCCAAAAAAACCAAAACATCATCCAAGCAAAGAACTTGGTGCTTCGTTTATCTCTGTCTGCTTTCCCACTTCACATCTCACACATGTCCAGCTTCTACACTGGCGTCTGCTGTCCAGGGTCGAGAAATTCATGTGGATCTGAAGATGCTCGTCTGCAGCCAGGCCATTATAAAAGGAAGATGGACTCGACCAGGGAGAATGTAGTAGGCATTCAGCCCACCACCCAGAGGGAGGCTGGTGCCACCCTTGCCAGGATGTGAATGGGACGCCATGACCCTGTTCTCTGTGTTGTTGTTCCCAGACCCTAACGGATCAGGAAATTGAAGAAGCAGAACTGAGCGATCAGCAGAAAGGCCGCCGTCTTTGTAGGATGTCACACGTCAGGTGGAGACATCTTAAATCAGGTGCCGTTTGTCATCCTCATCCTTCTTAAAGGAGACAAGAAGTCCTTGCTCTCACCCCCTAAGAAGGGGCAACTGTGAAAGGCCAAATAATCAGCATAAAGGATAGCCTCTCACATTACATACTTTTGGATTCACTTAAAAAAAATTCCCTACATGGTTCTTGTTTTTCTCATATCACTCAAGAATTGGGAACCACAGCCCTGGACTTGTCTGGGTTTAGGGGCCTGCAGTGGAGACCCTTGTTCCAGCTGCCTTAAGGAGTGAATCAGTGAACCACAAAGTACCACTTTCAGATTGCTTTTCAGACACCGCCTTGTACTAATTTCCTATTGCTGCTGTGATGAATTGCCACAAACTCAGGGACTAAAACACGAGATTCAGTGTCCTAAAGTGCAGGTGTCAGTGGCCCATGCTCCCTCGGGGCTGTGGGGGAGCCTGCGCTTCCTCACCCCTTCCAGCTTCCCGAGGCCACTGTGTTCCTCAGCTTGCTTTGCCTCTTTCTTGCATCTCTTCGACCTCCTCTCCTTGTCTCTGACTCTGACCCTCCTGTCTTCCTCTTATAAGAACCTTTGTGATTACATTGGGCCCACCTGGATGATCCAGGATTAACCCTCATCTCAAGATCCTAATTTTTTTTTTTTTTTTTTTTTTGAGACAGAGTCTCGCTCTGTTGCCCAGGCTGGAGTGCAGTGCACTGCAACCTCCGCCTCCCGGGTTCAAGTGATTCTCTTGCTCTAGCCTCTCGAGTAGCTGGGATTACAGGTGCCCACCACTTCTCCTGGCTATCTTTTTCGTATTTTTAGTAGAGACAGGGTTTCCCCTTGATGGCCAGGCTGGTCTTGAACTGCTGGCCTCAAGTGATCTGCCTGCCTCAGCCTCCCAAAAGTAATCCCCCCAAAGTGTTGAGATTCCAGGCGTGAGCCACCATACCCGGCCAAGATCCTGAATTTACTCACCCTCGCAGTGCCCCTGTGGCCGTGGAAGGTGACGGACAGACCCTGGGAGCCTTTTGGAGTCATCTTTGGAGGGCTGTTACTCTATCTGCACCTTTCTGCCCGTCTCTCCTACTCCCTTGTCAAATACCCTTGCAAAGTTGTCTTTTAATTTGTCTTCATGTGTGGGATTATTTAATCATTAATCCTAAAACAAAGGGCTAGGGGCTGGGCATCTGCGGTTGTGATCTTGACTGGGTTGCATGATTTGGGACCATGTGCATAACCCCTGAGGCTCTTCTTTTTCTTACCTACAAAATCATGGGTTGTCTGGCTCACTTCATAGTTAAATTAGAAGTTTCCGTATCCATGTATGAGATTTTAATCACTGCTTTCCACTGTCTGCTTTAGGGACTGGGGAGTAGGGTATTTAGAGGTGAAACAGGAAGGAAGGAATCATGTGTATGTGCTTTACAAATTCACACGTGCCTGAATGTATTTACCCTTGATGCGCTCATTTTATTTCATTTTTATGATTTTTGACGTGTTTATTTTTCCCCACATCTAGAACAGAATAGGCGTGCTGGCGGGGATGCTGTTAAGAACTGTGATAAATGCGTTTATGGTTCCTGAAGGTTTAAGAATATGATCATGCTGAGCTGGGGAAGTCCAGCCTCTGCCCTGGGCTTCCTTCATCTGATGCACTTATTTCGTGTTAAAGATTCACTGTAAAATACTAAATAAACTTAATAACTACTAATAACCATCTTTGTCAGTTGAGGACACTTAAATTTTATGAATTTTGGGGAAAATATAGGAAAATACCTGAGGAAATAGAATTTTCAATATCATAGGTACAGCTTTTGATATTATAGAATTTTTGTGCACATGTGGCAAAGTGCTTGCTTTGGCTTTCTAAAAAGAGTTCAGGTAATGGTAGATGTCTTGATAGCAGTAAACAAATACAACCAAAAGAAAGGCCTTCACCGTTACCTGAGTGTTCACCATGGACCCCGCTGTGCCAAACCCAGCATGGGCATCATTTTCTCTAAGACACAGAACGCACACACAATTCTGTGAGGTCAGTATTCTGTCCTTATTCTGGCCATTGCAAACCCGAAGATAGAGCAGGTTGTTTGCCAGGGAGGCAGGCGCCCAGGTGCTCGGGGAGAGGTGCCGCCCTACCCACTTTAGCTGTCTGTAGAGACCATGGACATGAACACCAGGAGGCTGCGTGCCCCTGAAATTCTGGACTTACAGCCCAAGGCTCAGCTCAGGCAGCTTGGGTTTATGGAGGCCATTCCTTGTACAGCTAAGCACTGTCCTGTCCTTGGAGGTGTGGGCAGGAAACATTGAAAGGGGGGTG